CTCTTCCCCCATCCTCCCCTACCATTCTGCTCACTGGCTACAGTCTCCGGAGCTGCGGTAGGTGACGTTATTCCTCATCGGCTGATCGATCTGCGAAATCCAACAAAATCAGTGTCTTTACTGCATTAGCTTCCGCATATTTAAGTGTATCAAGCTATAACGTACCAATTTACGAGAACAAGAATGCAACAAATCTCGCCTAACTATGTTGTGCTTCTTTTTTGAGGCTGAGATTTGCTTGTGCTTTTTCTAGCCGCTCTTCCGTTCCGTGGTCAATTATGTCTGAGAGATGAAAGAACAAGGCTGGTATATAACAGAAGAGGTGCGCACAGGGGTTTCCGATGCGATCATGCGTTTTTGCACTATTTTCCACAAAGGCACACCCTGCTAAGTGGTGGTTTTTTCAGACAGGTGCTTCTAGTTAAGCATATGGAAATGCACATCATTCTCAGAGTAACCTATTTAGGCTGTACAGTTACAAAACTGGCACCGTCATACTGCATACGTTCGCACGTAAGGTATAGGAAAACTGTTCTTAAGTGTACCTGCCCAAACACAGTCTTGGGTCGTGCCCAGAAAATTTCAGCACTCTAACTTTGGTTGCGGAAATACAAAACTGTGGGCGCTAAATTGCACATGTCCTTAGGTGAGATGAAGGGAGGGCTTGAAAGTTCCATGTGATCGTAACAAATTCCATGTGATCGTGTATGGAATGTGAAGGAAATGAAAACTCATTTTACGCTTACGGGTCACACACGTGACTGCAAAGATTCCTGTAAAATTGCAGTTTCTATACAACCCGGGAAATTCTGATTTTTGACATGTCCCTAAGAAACACTTAGATTTGCGTAACGCCGAATTTAAAGACTCTGGGTTGTACATGTCAAGGAATATTCTTGCAAAAGTTTCAACGTTCTAGCTTGTCTGGTCTCCGAAACCACCTTCTTGCCATATCCCACATGCCCGCGCATGAAAATTAGGGAGCGTAAACGTTTGATTTTTATGACTGAAGACCCATCTGTAGCAGAAAATCAGGTTGTCAGCTTTCACAGTTTTCGCAGACCTGTACATCGAAATATACAGATAGATATACACACCCACAGATAAGTATAACACCTAGTAGAAAGATACCCGGCTGCCGGTACGAGGATGCGTTTTTTGGCAGTTCCCCCCGCAGGTTTTTTTCGCCAGCGGCACGTTCTTCCTGGCAGATGCTTCTAGCTAAAACAATTGGGACTGGCCACCACAACTGTTAGAAATTATTACAATGACCCCCAATCCATGCTCAGAAGATCCAGTGCTCTAGATGCTTCGGTTGCATAGTTATGTCAAATTTCACGTGTTCGTACGTGAGTGGCTACGTGAATGCTTTCTTCGCCCCCAGTTGCTCAAACATGGTCCTTGGTAGCGCTCAGAAAGTTTCAACATCCCATCTGCTCTGGTTGCAGAATTACGCCAAATTTCACGTGTTCGTACGTGAGTGGCAACGTGAGTGCTTTCTTCGCCCTCGGTTGGTCAAACACGG